GAGGGGTAATCCCCTTTTTGGACAACTTCGCACTTTTATTCATAAAAAAATCGTTTTCGCGTCGCAATCAGTTGATTTTTACTATGGTCACAAACTGGCTCTAGCACCTGCTGGCAAGCACGTGGCACCTCGAACTCTGTGGGCCACATAAACTCGTGTGCACAGCTCTTGCGATTGAAGCAAAAAGAATGGAATTTGTTCGCCCAACTTGTTCTGATTTCAACTTTTTCATTTGATGCAAATTGTTTCAACGTTTGACATTGAATTTGTCCCTCTCTGCTTCCAAGCTTTATACAGTTGCGATCAGCCTGCATTGTTAAAATATGCTGACGTTACTCTTCTAGACGCTCTACAAGCAATATCTTATATATATATATCCAAACTGCACCTGCTGGCAAGCGCGCGGCACCACGAACTTTGTGGGCCACAATAACTCGTGTGCACAGCTCTTGCGATTGAAGCAAAGCATCTTTGCAGGCTTTCGAAACAGAGCATCGGAATCATTCCATAAAAATTATCATACTAGCTGCTGACATAGATGTAGAACGAAAGCCGGTTAGAACATTTAGAACAAAGCCACCGTTCCTGGTCGGCATGAGTTCTTCGCCTCCAATGCCGCATCTTCACATTGTCCCTCATCAACTAACGCAACCAAACTTTTTTGCAAGCAAGATGCAAACAATCTCGATCCCTTTCCAGAGATCCATTCCGGACGGAAACCAAAACATGTTGGATGAAATGAATCGAAAGGTACGGGGTTTGAGAGATGCGAAACAACTGTTTGCCTGGTTGGCTCAGAACCGGAAAAAGTTCCCAAAGGCTACTGGCCTAGATTTGTACGATCCAAGCCCCACGGATGTTATTGTTGCGACGTTTCCGAAAGCTGGTACGACTCTAACGCAACAGCTGTGCTATCAAGTGCTGGTGGCGACTGGCGGGGCACCGCCCCAAGACCCATTTGGCACCAAATTTGCTGACATCTGTGAGGTGGCCCCGTGGTTGGACTTTATGCCGCAGATGGGCGTACCCCCTGTTCTGTCTTCTCCGCGCGTTTTCAAGACACATGCCACGGCCAACAATTTTGACATCCGACGACAGAAACATGTCGTGGTTTTGCGCGACCCTCTGAAATTTCCCGGTAGTTGGCTAGACTTCACCTTTGAAAATTACCGTTTAGATGGGCATTCGATTTGTGAGGAGTCTGTGAAACGTGATGTTTTTGATGAAACCGTGGAAAGAGACCTGCTCGGGTTGCTGCCATCCACGTTGTTGAGCTCTGGAGCATTTGGGTCTTCAGAGGCCAACGCCGTACATAGCACTAGAAATAACCCGAACAAGGGTCCGATGGGCCCCTGGTTCAAACACACAAAAGATTGGGTTGACTTGATGGAGCATCGTAATGTGTTGATTCTATTTTACGAAAACATCGTCAAAGACTGTGCCACAGCGGCCGAGAGCGTGGCCGCGTTCATGGGTCGTAAACTGACGGAGAACGGCTTGAATACGGTTGTGAAAAGATGCAGTCGGGAGTACATGTGTGCTGACAATCGGTTCAAGTCCATCCTAGACGCAAAGGTGTTTGGAACAGCAGAAACGGCGTCAAAAGTGAGGCCGGCTGTCCGCGAAGGTTTTACCGGAATGAAAATCAAAGAGAAGTATCTCGTTGAGTACCGTCGGCAGATGAAGGCCACTTTTGGAATTGAAAGTTACGATGAACTAAGGAGGGCTGTAGGATCCAAGCAGCGAAAGCGATAGTTTAGTATCCTTATAGGTTACCTAAATCCTCCGGCTTGGGTGGCAAGCTGGCAATCTCTCTGCCATAGATACTCGTTACTTTCTAAGTCCCTGCTAGCTAGGTCTCGGAATAAATTAGGCTGTCATCTACATAGATAGTGTCTGCATAAGTAAGGTGGTTAAACACAGGAAGCGGTTCGGGCGCAGGTCACCGCCGGTTTTGGCAGGCCAAAGGTTGTCGGCGGTCTCGGCCCGGGTCGGCATGGGTGTAGAGGGTCTCGGTACAGATGTTTTGGGTCTCGGCACGGGTGTGGTAGGTGTCGGTACAGATGTTGTGGGTCTCGGCACAGATGTTAGGGTCTTGGCGGTATGGCAGGGTCTCGGCAGCGTCACAAAGTCTCGGGGGGCGAGTGGGTCTTGGAATTATCAAGAGGTCTAGTCAAGAGGCCTAGAATCGGGTGTTACGTTTTGGCGGGGGTTCACGGTGGTTTAGGGGTTATTAGGGACGGATACGAACGGAGATCTATCTGATTCATTGACGTCAGCGGAAGGGGATCCCACCAATCTAGTAGAGTTTTAATCAGAATTCATTCCTTAAAAGGTGCAAGGTTAAGTAAAACAGTACACCTGATCGCAATTTCTGGATTGACAAGACAGCCAGCCAAGTGGCGAAATGGCAATTTCTGGATTGACCCACTGGGTCAATCAGTATTGATTGGATTGACCCACATACAGTGATTACTGTACACGTACTGTAGTACCCTTACAAAGGGTAGAAAGAGCGCTCTGCCCTCAAGTACTGTAGGTGGTCAGGATTGACCTGGTCACTCGACAGTTTATAATATAAACTGTCGAGTGACCAGGTATATATATATTTAAATATAAACTTTATATTGCTTCCAGAATCGGAATCTGGTGCGCGCGACTCCGCAGCGCCGTCGTCGGTAGATATTAATAATAATATTATTATTATCAATAAATCTATCTCTTGATGCAGGCGCAACTAGGGAAATAGATGCCGGCGGATCCAACTGCCATTCGGCCCTTGTCATACCGAATGCATTCTGCAGGCGGAGCGCGGTCATGTCATGGGGCATTATTATTGGACGACTGGCTTCCGTCACATCGCGTCCCAATGATCGTAATACACAGGTACAGTATGCCCAGATTCTGGGCATACATTCTGGGCATACGTTCTGGGCATACATACACATTGGGAGGTCAAAATGGCTCTATTTTTTTCGAGGTGTACGTAGGTACAGTATGAAAAAGCTGATCGATATGATCGCGCAAAATAGTGCATCCAGGTAACGCCATTCGAATTTGGAATAATCAAGGGTACCCTTGGGTACAAATGAAACTCTGCATGAATCAAGGACACAATTTATGTTTTTTCAGAGTCGCCCACTGGGCGACTCTGAAAAACACAAAAACACTACTGTATGTACGCAGTTATCGGAGTCGCCCACTGGGCGACTCCGAAAAACATAAAAACACTACTGTACTGTATGTTGTTACAGAAGACGCAGTTATCACACAGTACAGTACCAAGGGTACACTACTGTACTGTACACTCTTATGGAGCGTCTCATGAAGTGAAGGTGAATTCCTGCCATAATAACCTTACATAACCTTATACTGCTTCCAACGGTGCCTCCGCCGCGCAGTGAGCGGCAACCGCCGCATACCGCCGCCGCATACCGCCGCCGCATACCGCCCCATATCTTCCCCCCCTCCAATCCACGACGCCATGCATGTCCAACTTGCAGTCGGCCCTTCCTCCGAACGAACACCACTCCTCGCCAAAACCACCACTTCGGAACAAACCCTGCCAGATGGACCCGGTCTCACGCAGTCCCAGGGCTACCTACTCATGTTCTTCTCCGCAGTGTTTGAGGCTGTGCGCGAATTTCTCGTTCGCATCATCGAAACCGCTCTGCAATTCCCGCCATCTACATCCTTGATCATGGGCGCAATCGTGTATGTGACTCTTTCAACCATTTATCTCATCCGCTTCAACCTTTTCAAAACGTCTGCTATGCCGCTGGGACAACTCGTACGCCTCGGGATACGAGGCTTTTGCGCTGCTTATTCCGTCTACCTTGGCAACGTCGCCATTGCACGCATCCCAGTAGGCCTCGTCCTCACGCTGTTTGCCACCGCGCCATCCATAACCACTGTGCTAGCCGTCATCTTCCTCTCAGAGCCCTTCACACGCTCCGACTTTGGCATCCTCGTCCTTAACATTCTAGGCGTATCACTGGTTACACGTCCGACAGCTCTGGGTTCCCACCCCGAAGCGGTATTTGGCGTCGTCGCCACGCTGATGGCTACTGTCATCGCTTCTGCCGGGTTTGTGATACTGAGGTCCATGGGACAGCATGTCCATTTTATGCTACACATATTCTCTATCGGGGTGAGTTCGTCACTTATCTGCCTCCTGGTGGTGGACATGAACGACATCAACGCAATTCGAAGCAGCGCAACCGGTACCACCATAGCGGTAACCACCGGATTCCTGGGATTTTTCCTCAAAGTCTGTGTCAACAGCGGAATGCAAGTCACTAGGCCTGGCCCTGCCCTCGTCATTCGCAGCGCGGGCGTTCCTCTGGGGTTCTTGTTAGGTTTGATTTTTCTAAGTGAACGGTTGACATTGATACCGGCAATCGGTGCAATGCTTGTGCTTTCATCAGTGGCTTGCATCGGTATCAAAGAGACCCTCGATAATCAGACTAACGCATGACTCATGTTGAACAACGCGAAAGCAGGAAGGTTTTCCGGCTGTGCGTGTATGGGAAAGGTGCGTCAAGGCACTTGCGTGTTGCCTATTCCTCTCTCAATCTCGGAGAGATGTCGCCATCCCCCAGATGTGTACAATATTGATTCAGCAACAGCCACATCGATTGCGACGCGAGCGGCAGTCCAGGTTGGTTTGGTGAGGTCCATCATGCTTCAAACACATGTAGCCTGCATAGTCACTCACAATGCGGCATGCATTTCGGGACACGGGGTAATCCAGCCCAAAGGCCATGTGGCGGAGGGAAATTGCGGTAACTGGGATAATGGAACGGTCGTACATTGCTTGCAAATCAAACATGTTCAAGTCTTGGGGAATGACATTAGGCGTGTACAACAAAACTCAGATTTTTTGCACTACGACATGTCTCCCTTACGTTAGTATTCACTAGGGTATAGTAGAATTGAAATTGAGCGTAGGTCGCTGGTGTCCAAACGAATCGAGGCCAGCCGCACCAGGCAGTTCACCAATGAGAACCAATGTCTTGGGTTGTGACAGTTTCGCTGTAATCGCCACAAATAGTGACGTCCATGACAGCACCAGACTGCTACGGCTTTTTAGCCGCAGGTACAACTCTAAATTCCATTGAGGGTTTCAAGGGTATCCTGTAGAATGCGAATAATAAAAGCCAGAGCCAACCATCTCAGGCCATTTTTGATCTCAAGAGGCAACAAATTAACCATCAGCCACAAACGACACTATCTCCAGATGATTACAGAGTGGTTTTGCGATCAAAAGTTTCCCTCAAAGCCATTGCTAAAAAAAGTCCCAGACCCACCTTGCCACCATTTGATATGAAAAGTGAGTCTGCAAACCAAAAGGAAGCTCCTTGCAGCTCCCTTTTGGTAGCACCAGTACTAAACAAGTAGTAGAACGCTCCGTGAAAAGAAGACGAATTTGGTTGCGGACAATGGACAATAATGGACATCCATAATAAGGGACCAGCACGACTAAGAATTGGCAATACACTTGCTGTACCGTTCTCGCTGGTTCAATTCTGGAAAAGGGTCAATTCTGGACAATATATTTATGAGTACTCCGCCCTCGAACCTCTGCATCTCTATCACAACCCCCACTCCCCCCCCCCCCCCC